GCGCCCCCCTGGCCCCCCCCCCCCCGCCGAGAAGCCGCGCACGCTGCCGAGCTTTGTGGAGCACAGCCCAGCGAGATGCCGAAACACGGCTCCGGAGCCCACGCCAGCCCTGTGTCCAGGAAAGCTGAGCTCATGGAGGAGGCTGCTCCCCAGACCCGCGGGTTTCCTCGGTGTCAAATGCCGCAGTTACTGCCTCTGGCCCGTGCCTGCTTGGTTGTGCGGTTGTCTTGTCTTCCCTGTCTTCTGCCTGTGCCACCGTGGGCAGGGCGAGGGTGCTCGGCAGGCAGAGGGGCTGCAGTTAGGCAGGAGGCTTGTGCAGCTGGGCGCGGGCAGGTTTGGGTGGGAGGGAAGGCTGCTGCTGCTGGCGTAGGCTGCGGTCGGGTAGCTCAGGCAAGGAGCACCTTGCAGTGCCGAGACGTGACTCTGCCGTATCTGAAGTCCTGCGTTACAATCCCGGCTCGGGCTGCCCCGGCCTCGTGCTGTATGTTGTTCTTTTCACTGCAGACTAAGCACGGAGAAAAGATGGAACAGAATCAGTATCTGCAGCCTTGACTCAAACCTTTGGCCTCTGCCCTGCTCAAGGAGAGAAGGCAGCGTGGGGTAGGCACCCCAGTTCCTTCGTTAGCTGCTGTTTTCTCACTGTTGGGCTTTCGTACTCCCTGCGAGGCTGAGAGCAGTGCGAGGGGGTGGGAAGCCAGCCCCCTCAGGTACCTGCACTCCACCAACCCCGGCAGCCCTTGCTCCTGCCCGAGGACCTGCTTTGGGTCCAGATCTCCCGCTCAGCAACACCAACGAGTTGAGCCTGGGCAAACTGTGAGCGCAGCGATGCATCTCTCCCCTTAGCCCCCCCGATCTCAGTCTGGGAGCAAAGCAAAGTACCAGGTCCCAGTTATTGGCAGAACGGAGTTCCAGGCAGGATTTCCCACATCCCGAGCACCTATTTGGCTGGACCACCTCAGGTTTGCACTCTCATGCCACCCTGCTTCAGTGTGACAGCACTGCCGGAGCTCTGGGCTCTGAGCAGAAGGGACACGCCAGATCTTGCCCTGCCCATTAGTTGGTGTTTAAACCTAAATTTTCCAGAAAGTAGGTACCAGCCTTAAAAGCCTCCCAAACACATCACTGGTTTATCACAAGCTGCTAACCCCAGTGGTAAGGATTTAGTCAGCACATGCTTCATCTTTTCTTGTCCCTGAGCCGTGCCCGGGGATGGCGGCTGGCAGGCTGCAGCTTGTGGCTGCAGATTAAAGGTGCCTCTGAAGTTCTTCAAAGCGATTCGTTAGAAAGTGGTGCATCCCCTCCAGACGTGGGCATCGTGTCACACTCCCAGGCTGGCAGCACCCACACCTTTGGCACTTTCAAAGCCTGGCGTTGTCCCCGCTTCAGGTTTGAACCCCCAGGTGTGACACGGGGAGGAAGCCTGTTACTTGCTTTCTTGCTGGGTGGTTGTCAGCTGCGACTCTGAAGCTGGTCAGCAAGTGATGGATGATGACACCCAACAGGCAAAGCTGATGGGAGTCAGTGTTTTCTAGCAGTGCATTTATCTGGCAGGGCAGAGGTACCCTGTGCTGCAAGTGATTTCTTTGCTGTGCCAAAGAAGGAAAAGAGAGCAGGATTAAAGGACTCACTGGAATCCTGCTTATGTAATTAAAAAAAAGAGGAATCCTGACTTCCAATAAAGAAACTTCATAAATATCTGAGTTTATGTTGGAGTGTGAAGTAGTTTGTCAGCAACAAAACTGTGGCTGTCAGCATGGAGGAGTTTTATTCTTCCTGGCAAGGACTTCAGCGTCGTTAACAGTGTGTCCTAGAGCACTGTGAACTACCAGAACAAGCAGTTAGTTCCAACCCGGTCCGTTACCTGCGTGAAGTGTTTCGCTCCAGTCTTAGCATGCCCGGAAGAAACCAGTGTTTGATTTTCAGAGCCGTTCATGCTGCTGTTGACCTTCAGTTGCTCCCTCCCGTGACAAGCCCGCTGTTGCCTTTGCCGTGTGAAATAAATAGCCATTCGCATGAGAAACCCCCCTAGTCTCACCTGACTCGAGAACTGTTTTGCTACCTGTGCTGTAACTTTGGGCTTTGTCTGACAGGCTTTGAAACGGTGTCTTACCGAAGGCTTGTAGGAAGTCACAGGTACGGTGCGGTAAGCTGCGTTTCCACTGCTGGTTGTTACGGAACCACCTTCAAGGGACTCGGGGAGCTTTTTAGTAAGGTTCTGCCTGCTCATACATCTCATTGAGTTGTTACGCTTATCAGAAAGTTGCATCCGTAAACCCTGGTTGTGATGTGTGGGCTGCCTGTCAGAGGTTGCTTTGGGCTCTTTGGGTAACGTGTGGAGACCCTTGCTAATGGTGGCTCAAAAAGAGGGTACAGAGACCTGAGCTTGGTGGCAGCAAGACTGCGCAGGCTTGGGTTGAGCACTAGGAAATGTTCTGCAGGAGGCACAGAACTGGCACAGGTCTCCGGAGAGGTGGTGGATCTCCATCTTGAAGGTTTTCAAGATCTAGCTGGACAAGGCCAGGCCTGACCCCTTCATGGGTTGGCAGCAGTCCTGCTGCGAGCGGAAGGTGAGACTAGGGACCCCTTCCACGATCCCACTGTCATTCTCTGATTGTCCTCTTGTTTCTTGCAGGAGGAAGAAGGTGAGGATGCAGATATCTCTTCTGGTCCCTCGGTCATTAGCCACAAGATGCCTTCTGCCCAAGCCTTTCATCACTTTGCTCCTCGTTACTCTGAGATGGGCTGCGCCGGGATGCAGATGAGAGATGCCCATGAAGAAAACCCAGAAAGTATCCTCGATGAACATGTACAGCGCGTGATGAAAACACCAGGCTGCCAGTCTCCGGGACCTGGCCGCCACTCTCCTAAGCCACGGTCCCCGGAAAGCGGCCACTTAGGAAAGCTGTCAGGGACCCTAGGAACAATTCCTCCAGGGCATGGCAAGCACGCAACAAAATCAGGAATGAAACTGGATGCAGCTAACTTATACCACCATAAACACATCTACCACCACATCCATCACCACAGCGTGATGAAACCAAAAGAGCAGATCGAGGCCGAGGCCACGCAGCGAGTGCAGAACAGCTTTGCTTGGAATGTAGATTCACATAACTATGCAACAAAGTCACGAAACTACACTGAAAACTTGGGCATGGCACCTGTCCCCATGGACTCTTTAGGCTACAGGTGAGTCAAGGCAACAGCCAACGGGAGGCCCAGAGCCATGGCTTCTCTAGGAATCTTTTTCATAAATGGGCTGTAGCGTGCCAGTGAAATAGGGTGGCTGAAGCACATTTTCTTGTGAAAGCCTGTGCTGGGACATGGTTTGAGGGCCTCCCAACTGCTCTTCCCCTTCAGAAATGGATATGCCCCCTGATAACCCCTGTAAACCCCTTTTCACCTCTGTGACTAGTGCTGAAAGACAACCTCTAACCAGGATTTTTAATGGCCTTGGTTATAAAGTAGTTTTTCTGCCCCTTAAAGCAGCAGAGGTGCTTAGAAATTGCAAATGCTAGTCTACTTCCCTGTGCATCAGGAGTTGCCAAGTACGGGGCTGTGTCTCAGGGTCTGGGTAACAGAAACCGATCTCCTAAGGTGTTCACGAGAGGACAAAAAACCCTCCTTATTGTAAGGCCTAACCCATTCACCAGAAGAGCTCTTTTATCTTCCTGACAAAATGATGGATGCCGTGGTGCTGCCGTGGCATCCTGTCCTAAGGGGACGTTCTCCGGGGCGGGGGACCCTCTGCCCAGGAAGGACATATCGCTGCCTTACAGGCTTTTGTCCGGCTTCCCTTGGCCGTTTGAATTCCTCCGTCCCCTCTGTGCTGAGGGGAGAGGGTGAAGCTCCTTCTCCACTGCGGGTTTTGCTAGTCCGCATGACTGCCAAGGTGAGAGCGGAGCTCGGGGCTGCCTGGGATAAGGGATGGCGACGGAGCAGGCGCAGGGGAGAGCAGTGCTCGCCCCAAGCTCGTCTGGCTGCCCGAGGCTGTGGGTTTGGGGCGATGCTTTGCGGCGCTCCAGGGATGGGATATTCAGTGAAGGCACGCGGCCGGGGCTGCAGCGGGCAGGACGGCGTTCCCGGGTGGCAGGAGGGAGGCAGAGCGCAGAAGCAGCTGAAGCTCGCTGCTCTCCAGGGAGGGAGAGGCTCTTGCATCTGCCCTCCGTCTATAGGGAAAGGGTGGTTGTTTCAATGGGGCACGAGCATGGCCGTGCTGGGTGAACCCAAAGCCCCGCCTAGACACCCGACTTCTCCCTAGCACTGACTACGGCACATATTTAAGGGGAATTCAAGGGGGGCCATTCAGAGCTGTCCTTCCCTCTGGCACAAACTGCCAGTTCCTGACAGTCCCTGGGTTAGGAGCTTCACAAGACAAGAGTTTGCATCCGAGCAGTCTTGTTCGGCAGGCAGCAGTCTCTTGCGGTGGCTTGTCTGGCTCTTTGTTGAACCCAGCTGGGCTGCTGTCCCCCCAGCCCCCACGGCTGTGTCTGCTGCTTGATTACAAGCTGCAGAAAAAGGCTTTTCTGTGTGTTTGCACTGAACCTGCTGCTAGAGAATTTGATTTGATACCCGCTATCATGTGGGGAGAAGCTGAGAACGAACTGTCGGTTTGCTCTGCCTTTGTAGATCTTCAACAACCCCTCTCCGGGTTTTTTTCCCCCAAAAATTAGCAAAGCTGACTAGAGGCCTTTTATTCCTCTGCGATGTTTCGGTTATTTTCCCTGTGTGTGTTAGTGAGCACGCAGAAGCAGAAGTAGGAAGGTCCTATGGAGTGAAGCGGGTGGGTGATTAGGATGATGGGGGTCCCATGAAATTACAGGCTGTGGCAATGACAGGCCAGCACGGGTGAATTCTACGCAGCCTCGTGTGCGTGGGGCTGCCCAGCTGGGCACGTGGGCATGGATGTGGGCAAGGAGCGGTGGGGCTTCTGTAGGAGCCTTCGCTGCAGCCATAAGCATAGCCAGCACGTCGGCTACTGCCTGGCATCCATCTGGCTACGGTGTTTGAGGTGGCAGTACTTCCTGGGGCACAAGAGCCCATAGAAGGCAGTCCTCCCCGCTAGGATGTGATCTTCCACCATGATATGAAGCCACAGTCCAAACCAGGGTGAGAAGCGAATGGTCAGGATGGCAAATCAGCAGTGTGGGGTATCAGTGAATCTGGGGGGGGGGGGGGAAAGGCTGCGGTTTCCAGCCCTGGGGGTGCGGGGGAAAGGCTGCGGTTTCCAGCACTGGTCTGGCGTGGAGAGGCAGCCGATAGATTGCAGCACCAGGATGAACCTCCTGCTCTGAGCAAAGAGCCAGGGGTTTAACACAACTCTTCGTGTGGCAGAAGATCTGCTGGGGATTTTGCCACGTTGCCGGGGCTCGTTTGGCCAGAGGAGAAGGTACCTTTCCCCGCAGGTGGCCGGACGGAGCAGCCTGCTGTGCCTAGGTCTGGCCAGTCCTGAGCTTAGCCTCAACTGCGGCATGGCTGGGTTGAGCTGTGGTAGAGCCAGCGGGCTGTGGAAGGCCGCGAGGGCCACGTCTGCGCTGCAGGCAGCACCAGACCCCGGCAGGGCTGAGTATCTCTGGAGATAGACACGGCCATCCGCCACGGCCCACGGTGGTTTGGCTTAGGCAAAGCGCTAATGTCTCAAGCTTTGTTCTTGCAGTGGGAAAGCAAGTCTGCTCTCAAAAAGAAATGTTAAGAAGACCGATTCAGGGAAAAGTGATGGTGCCAGCTATGAGATGCCAGGATCTCCTGAAGACGTGGAAAGAAACCAGAAGATCCTTCAGTGGATCATAGAAGGAGAGAAGGAGATCAGCAGGCATAAGAAAACAAACCATGGGTAAGGGCTGGCAGGGCATGTTGTACTGCATCCCCTACGCAAGGCATGTGTGTCTAGGCTGTCCGGCAGTCTGCCTTGTTCCTGGACATCTTGGGAGGACAAGAATTCACCGGGCACAAGGGTTTAGACCCTTTGGAGGCTGAGGATTGCTCAGGGGCTGTAAGGGCAGTTTTTTTCTGAAGGATGACTTGTGGCCATGGCCGGGAGGTTGCAGCCCCAGGGGAATCTCACAAATTACTGCTGTGGTTCGAGGTGGATAGCGCAGCACACAGTAGGCAGTATTTTTTCCTTTAAGCATTTACTGTATGTAAATGCCTGTTACTCTTGCAACGTTGGACCTGCTGCACTGGTGCCATCAGTCCTGAGTAAGCAGTTTAGCACAGCTCAGGGTTGCCCAGCATTTCAGCTTGCTGGGAGCATCCTCTGGGATGCCTTCGCCTGCCTAGAGCAGAGCCAAGGACGTGACTGTCTCAGGAATCTCCCTGGAGTCCAGCAGATCTGCAGGCACGGATCCTTAATCACAATCTGGTCAGTCTCTGGCAAAAAACAGTGCTTGCCGGGTGTCGACGAGCGGGATCTGGGGTCTCGTCCCCTCTGACGCAGCTGCACTGGTGGCTGAGCGGTGAAAGTGCTGGTGGTTTCTCGTCTTGCTTGATGGTAGAGGCCAGCGTGGGTTGTGCTGCAGGCAGCTGGGCCGAGTGCCAGAGCCATGGGCTGCGCCAGGCCACCGTGAAGTCAGGCAGCAGGTTCTGCTGCTGGAGCTGGGAAAGGACGAGCACATCCCGGCAACGTGCCTTTCCCTGGAGATGCGCAACCAGTGGTGCATGGAGAGGCTCCCGGCCTGGCAGTGTCGGCAGCACATGGGAGGGTGTCTTCTGGGGGAACGTCACAAATGGTGGAGCTGCCTTTGGCTGGTTTTATTTTATATGTTGCAGACTTGATGGGAGCCCTTAAACAGATCTGTGGGCTTTGTGTCAGGGCTGGGTTGCTCACCCTGATGCCTCAGGACTTGCTGTCCTGAAATCTTCTCTAGAGGTGGATGGTGCTCCCCTGTCCCTTGGAAGCTGTGCTGTAAGGAGCTTCCCAGTGGTGCCCATGCCCAGCTGCAGAAAGCAGTAGGTTCATCTAGGAGTGACTGTGTGCCTGTCCAAAGCAGCTCGGCGGTCTGTGTAAAACCTTTGTGTTTGTGTGTAGCTCTTCAGGTGCTAAGAAGCAGCTGTCCCACGATATGGTCCGACCTCTCTCCATTGAGCGACCTGTTGCGGTGCATCCGTGGGTCAGTGCCCAGCTCCGAAATGTCGTCCAGCCTTCTCACCCCTTCATCCAGGATCCTACCATGCCGCCCAATCCAGCCCCCAACCCTCTCACCCAGCTGGAAGAAGCTCGCAGGAGGTTGGAAGAGGAGGAAAAAAGGGCTGGAAAACTCCCCCTCAAACAAAGGTATGGTGATAGGGTCTGATTGTGCGTGGGAGGGAGGTCTGACGGTGGGCAACTGAGGGAGATGTCCACTGCCCTCAGCTCTGGTCTCCAGCTCCCAGCACCAACTGGGTGGAGGCATACGCAGAGAGGTCAGAGAGATCTGCGCCAGTCCCTCTAACGTCGTGGTGCAAGTGCCAAAACCCACCTTGAGGGCTTGGGCTTGTGGTTTGTTGATGGAGAGGCTGGAAGGGCTCTTGGGAGGGTAGGGAAGGAGCTGCTGAGAGGTTGAGGAGGAGCTGGGCAAGGGGACCGTGTCTAGAAGGGGCATAGTATAGGAGAGCTCTCTCCCTTGGTACTTGCGGACTCTCAGCTCGTTCACGCTCACACCAGAATTTCAAAG